TTCACTGCCTAAAATGTCTCGATCCATCATGATAATAGCAAGAAACGCTGATGAAAACTTCCAAACCAACAGGTAAACACCCGCTGTGACGCTGCCACTGATTGGCTAATCGTTCTGTAAATCACGTGACCGGTGTAATACGTCAGCATGTTAAAGATTGGCAGTACCGGGTTACACTGTTGTAGCCAGCAGCCAGTGAACAACCCCCCGAAATATATTACAAGTACTTGTACAACCTATGTTTTAGCAGTATCGCCTATCTTTAAGCCGGGTCAATCAGGGACAAGGTTAGAGAATGCCATTATTTATCGTTTCTCTTTCTATACAGGCCGTGACCCTTGTAGCGATGCACATCGACTCAGTGAAGTGGGGAATCACAGACTCGTCATTCGTATTCAGTTATTTCAGTGAATTGTGAAGTCAGCGTTGGGAATTCCATCACGTACAACACGGATCGGACACACACCGTGTATTAAATTATGAATAATACACACGTGGTCTCAACTTATTACAACTTTCCAAATACAAATTTTAGTATTATTGATTCATGACACTTTCAACACGTATTTTGCGTGACGATATTTCACGCATGCCAAACTGTTCGGTCCCGACAATTGTTATTGCCGTTTTCAACTAATGTTTCTTTTTTATGAATGAATAATGAACAAATAATTACATAAATAAATTTTCTGGATATGAAATGATTAAAAAAATTTACTTGGAGCATTATAAAATTAACCCTGTTTGTATCAATACTAACATCACAATCGTCTGTGCCTATGAATTATAATTTACAAAAACAAATGTTATACGAGATCTCGTGATAATAACACGGGATGGCATGATAATAATACGAAATATCTTGAGATCCCAAATGATTTATTTTATTTCATAATCGTCACCGGGAAACTAACTTCAATATTAGTCTTTTCGATGTTTTTCTCTCCATCAGTTGCTAGCTTACATGATCTGGGTTTGATTTGCGAAATCAACAAAAATGACCGCCTTGTGTAAAAATCTCTCCACTCTAGTCGCACAAACATGCAACTCCCAAAGACGCGTACGGTAAAGTACTTAATTTTTACTTGGAAATGAGTTAGAACTTGAAGGATTGTTTCAGTGAAATTATTTTTTGGCATCAAAATTCGGCATATTTTTGATGAAAAAACATAAGATTAAAAATAAAACCCCCGAAAAAATAGCCTAAGCGAACGGCCGTTTCCTAAATTGTATCATTTTTTATACACATGGAGGTCGACAATATCCCGACGTTTGAAACAAGTCGTATTTATCTTTATGTTACAATCGACTATACATAAATAAACCATTACATTTACACTGACACGTGCCACGCTCGCTGCGTATTCACTGTTACATTCTACTACATGTCAAGTACATTTGACCTCGCCCGGGGTCACTGACCAAATATGGGTTATAAATCTTCGTACCATTTTCCTCTATTCCAAACATATTTCCGCCACTAAACCAGTTTCCCCGGCATTACTCGGTTTCACATGGGTCACTGAGTTGAAGTCATGCTGTTTGTCACGTAGGCATGTACATTTACAGTGTCGTGGTACCAAATAGCCACTCGTTAGCAGTTACGGTTGGTTGTTTCGACTTCAGACTATTTCGTGAATTGACAAAGTTTATCACATTTAAAAGGACATATAAACGCCGCCACTTTTCATTCGGATACGGTAGCCGTTTTTAAAAATGTCTGCTTATGATTGTGCCAATGATGACATCATTAAATGACATCATTACACTTGGTTGGAAATGAAGAAACAGGCATGTAATTGTGCACGTGTAAAGTATTTTACAAACATTTTCACAAAAAGTACTTACATTTCATTTTTGTTCACCTTTCATGGGTTTCACACATTTCTTAACTTTGTTTACTTTACTAAAATTCGTAGAAAAAATGTGCCTAAATATGCAGTTCAACATTATCATCAAACAAACGGAGAAAAATACACCGCAATGCAATGAATAGCCTGACAATGTCGCTTGAGTTGCGCCCTCCGCGGTGCTCTGATGCCAATTGGCCGACGAGGGCGCTACTCACGACTAAATGTCAGGCTATGGACTGTAAAACATGTTGAAAAAGCGGCATGCAATTTTAGCGAATTGTAGTAAAATGACGTAATAGCGAAATGTTGATTTACCGAATCTCTCTTGTCATTGTTGATTTCTTTGTTTGGCGGCCATTTTGAATTGATAATAAAGTCATTAGCGACATCTTGAATTAGCGAATCAGTTCTCTCGCTATATTCGCGAAAAAGACATGTTTTACAGTAATTAATGATTTGCTACGAAGTGACACAAGAAACCTACCAGGCAGGTATTTTAAAACCAACATCATTAAGAGTGCGTATAGAATTAACTAATCTCCATGAAAGTTCAAGGTACACTTTTCAGCAAAATGACTCCATTGGAGGAGTGACTTTACTGTGTGGATATGAGGGCGGATACTAACTGTCGTGTATATCACAATTGAAAGCAGGATACGAAACTTAACGAGCCTGGTAGTGCATACACAATACGTAGTTACGGGATAAAGTGACAGCGAGACGTTATACTTCAGCTATGGATAGTATTTATTCTGGAGAACATAACATGTATCATCGCTAGTTTGGTAACAACTGGTAATTACAAAGAAATCACAGTATTTATAGACCGTCAAGGATTCACGCCATGTGAACAAATTTTGGCGCTGACTATATAATTATGAGTGTTTCCTATTACGTTAGTATAAGTGGCCTTGATCATTAAAATGGCTTAAAGCAGTCAAGGTTGTGCTAGTTTTCCATAACTTTACTTGCAATATCAAACCGAAACACATTGAACTAACACTAAAAGGATGTGTATATATGCGGAAAGAATACGAATAAATACGATTCAATAACTGTGACTAAATGTTCCCGATACTAACTACGAACTAAACATGTTAACCGATGTAAATAAATTACTAGTGTCTGATGCATTTAGTGAGCAAAACGTTCATTCAAATAAATGACAAAGACTGGTTCCTACCAGAACAATAAATAACAAACAAAAACAATACAAACAAAACAAATAAATTTGCGATTTCCCATTGTTCCGTTATGATCCGATACCATTCGGTTTACACGAATTCGCCGTTGGAGGGGCAAATTCTCAAAGTGCCAGTAATGCAGTCCAACAAAGTATTTGTGATTTTCCCATTTTGTCGTTACTCTGTTGGTTTAAATAGCCATATTTAATTGAAAATTATGTATGGGGGTGTACTCACCTGGATTTTGGGTGAAAATCAGTTAAAAACCGTACCGAACCAGAAAAGAACTCCAATATGAAAATAGCGGTTGCGATGACGTTTTTTTCAAAAAAAAGTAAAGGACCGATAAAAATATATGGCACATACACACATATACAGACATAGGGTGTGAAGATATTGAAGTGCCAAAAATATATGGTTCGAGTCGACATGACGGACTTATTTACCAGATGGCGATAACATTTGGTTTTACAAGAATTACACGTGTTCGCCGTTGGTGGCGCAAATGCTCAAAGTACCAGTAATAGATCCCAGTACTATATATATATATATATATATATATATCCTCGAGGGCGGACATACAGGCATTTTCACCGCCTGGCAACCCTCGCGGTGAAAACAAAGCCCCAAAACTCACAGAAAACGGTACTTTGGGATTGTTGTTGAGACTTCCCTGAACAGTGTAACAAGATTATCCCCACGTGTGTAACATATATAAATTTGGTTTTTCAGGATTACTTCAAAGTTGAGTTTGTGTTGTTTTCTCGAATTTTCACTAACTCGACTGGCGTTCCACAGCAGCGCGCACAGAGCCCATATAAATGCACGTACAGTGGTGCGCGTCTTAGCAGCGTGGAACGTCTTGTGACGTAGCTCCGCCCCCGAGGATTATCAACGTATTTACCAGTCTCAGGAAGGTTGTAAGTTAGATCCAGGCACCCGATTGCAGAGTACAAACAATTATATATTATGGTTCAGTAATATGAAAAACTCACTAAATAAGGTCATAAAACAATATTACCATGGAGACGCTCGAGTCGTAAACACTCACCGTAGCTGGAAAACAAGTATATCGTTTCCGTCCACCAATTGAGACAATTTAATCAACAATCATGACGTAATTATTTCTTAATTACCCAAATAATTATTTGCAACGAGTCAAAATGCATGATAAATTTTCAGAATGGCAAAATTGTTCAGAAAACCCTGGATCGGTCCTTCTTAATATATTTCTGAACTATATTTCTTTAAATAAAACTTATACTCCGACAATAATCAGCTGTGCCATGTAGATTGGAATATTAATAATATACAAACTACTTTAGAAAATAGTCTTCATTCCGCTACCAACTGAGTTATTAACACTTATTTGAAGGCTCGGACCAGTTTTAATAAATTTCAGTTTCTGATTCTTGGAAAGCCAGATGTATTTCATGATGGGATCGATTTGAAAATAGTCAAAAAAAAAACATCTGCGATTAAGAATCTATTGATTTTCTTAGATGAACGTTGATATATAAAAAAAATGTCCAACATGTATTGAATGTTTCTTGAAAGGTCATCAAAAAGTTCATTCCAATCGACGCCAAACTGAAACTCTATAAGGAACAGTTTGGAGCAATGAAAGACCATTGTGATAATGTCTTTTCTTCGTAAATGCGATTGAATTCGAGAATTTCGTAACCGGGGTTGTTTACGATCATAAAAATGCAATTTAAGAATATTGTAAGTAATTAGAACAACTAATTTCATTTGCCGGCCAAACAAACAAACAAACAAAAATGCTTCAAAAATGAAATTAAGGGAACCAGGGCAACAAAAATGCCTGCTTCTTCTCAAATTCAACAACTTTTTGTAACATACCACGAGTTTATTACAGGCACGAACCGCTGTTTCTATAGCAGCTAATAATATAGTAGATAAACTCAAAATATCATAAGCAAAGAAAACTTTCAGATTTCTGTACATGTTAATTAAAATTATATGTATTTACTCTGAAAAAATTACAATGAATACGTGGATATTTTTATTGCCTTTTGTGCGTTACATTTATAAATTACTATTACATTCAGTGGACGATGCAATACGTGGGTTGGCAATCAATCACGTGATACCCACTAACTCGTGACGTATCGAACATGAATATCAAAACACCGTGTATCATAAACAATATAATTTATAATCTTGGTCAATAAATTTAAAGGACATTGACCCCTGGACGCGCATATCGGATGGAGCTTATAAGTAGGTAATTCTTCCTGTATCTGCAGAGTGACGATTGGTAAATGATTCACATTTGTATCCGCTCATAAGGAAACCACTGGTTTACTGGAGGTCCTTATGACGTGAAGCAAGATGAACGTACCAGGATGCTTTTACAATCCGAAACGCCCTCAAGTTGCTCTAATGTCCGTTATAGATTGACAGTTCATTTTTCAACACAATAAAATATCGGTCTGCAATTAGAATTAATTCTCAATCCGTGTAAATCCTTTCAAGGTGATGACGTAGTTCATTCGAACACCAGCAGCCGGCGTTTCCCAGATCACGTGGTGTTATTGCTACTGGAAGACGACTGTCGCTGTGGAGGTAGTGGCCTTCCCACATAGTACACGACTGGGCCGTTCATCTGAGCCCTGTAATGAGAAAAAGAACTTTAGAGTGAAACCATGTCCACACCACAACAAACAATATCCCAACAGTAATATATAAAGTGATGGCGGGAACATTGGCTAGGAACACTGACAGCGCCACCAGTGTCTAACAGCGAGAGGTATGTTGAAGAAGAAGATTGATTATGTATGTATTGCGTCATTGTTTGTCACAAAAGCTCACCGGCACGTTTTAAAATTAGCATAAATAAACCAATAAGTGATACATATTGTCACATTTAGATTGTAGCTGACTGTAGTCCATTTGTATTCGAGCACACTGAAAGCGATCATCTTAAAAAAAATTCCAACATTACCTTTCGAAACATCTTAATTATACAAATTAGCATCCCGTTTTCACAAGGAGCCACATTATTCAAACATGATCCCGGGTCATAACAAACTAATTTCCCATAAACAAACTGCTTGAACAGCACGCTGGGAATTATTCATCCGAATTGGCAAACCGATAATGTTATAGTTGTTTTGTTAAACTAATGGTTTATTAGTAACGGATTGATGTTCAAAACAGCTTTTATACAACACACACGTCCTCTATCGACGAATCTCTTTTGTGACGTATACGGGGAAAGCACGATCATTTTTTATTTGACCTATTCAAGGACGAGGAATTCTACGAAGAAACGATGTCTATGACTAGCTTCGAATCTCACCATATCGATTAAATTACTGCGTTTCTCCCGGCTTTGAACTATATTGTTAAGACTGCCGAGTCTTTAGAATCAGTAAAGAAAGAAAAAAAAAAACAAAAAAAAAACGGGTAACTGCGCTTTCTCAGGTATCCTGTGTAGACGACTTGTGAAATGCCGGTCTATTCTACTTACAGAGCCAATGACTCAAGTACCCAACATTCAAATCACATTAAAAGAGTTAGTGGTTTAGTACACAATCCCAAAATAAAACAGATCATCCATTCTCATGCTGACAAAATTGGAAAAGTTGACAGAGCTGCACACTTCGTAGCTGTGGGTCCATAGTCTTTCTTGTTCCGTTCTTTAGTGCTTATGGTGGTATTTTACTATTGGTTCCATATGTTAGCACATGTATCTAAATGCCATTTGTGAATGAATCAAGCAACTGACCGGAACATATAAAACATATTTCCGGGTATGCCAAAGATGTGACTAGATGCCGTTGCCTACCTGAAGCGTGCCGTATTTTCATTGAATTCAATGCTCTATATACTAGTGAAGATGTGACATTAAATGAGGAAAAAAACAACACCTGCTTGATTAAAATGATAACTCAATCGTATGTCATTTATAGGATAATGGTTGGAAATGAAACAAATATACAAATGAATGCATTAAACGTTTATTACTAGTATTCTAAGATAACTTTCGTACGTGAGAAGAGAACTTTTTATATGAAAAAGAATGTAATGGAGTTATCTTTTTATTTGTAGTGACACGTTGAAGGGAAATGTAGATGTATTTTGTGTTTTTTCCAAAACCTTTTACAATTGTATATACAAACTGTTTTTTTTTTCGCCAGCGTTGGAATTCATGTAATATTGAGCAAAAATTACCCCCGCGGCACCAAATAAAGAAACACATAAAGATATATCATGTAACGTGGCATATGTGTATAATAGGTTGCGAATAATATTCGACCAAGTGCTCTTTGCCGATGCATATAATGTATAATTAACTTAATATGTGTTCAGTCAGTACCACTAGGGTCATATTTGCTACAGTTTTAAATAAATATATGTATATATATTTACGTAACTGTACACAGCGCTACTATATAATGAGAAACAGACCATTAATGCTGCCATGGATACGACGTCAGCTCTACTCTATTAAATAATTTATCAACTAACTAACGAGAGTTCTCCAAGACACAGTGGTTCAGCAAGAAAGATGAGAATTAAAAGTGCTGTGTGAAATGGGAATGATGAATCACAAACTAATCTGTTTCATTAATAAGAACACATTAAAGCCGAGAAAATCGATTTTTAACTGCCGATCGTAATGACCTATCTGATCACAAAGACTAATTACACTTAATCATTATATAACTATATTTTGTATTATTCTGAGGTTAGGTGGATAAACCTCACGCTTTCCAGTCCGCTCCTTGGCAGATACGACTGAATAGTTGTACCATAACCATTGTATACGTTTGTCATACGTAATTATGAAGTTTTCATTCAGACATTAAAATTTAATACATTTTGATATTATGGTTGACTGTGAAATACGAGCCATGACGGGCTCCTTTTAAAAATGAATAACTTCCTAACGGAAACCTTACAGTTATACGTTACAGTTAAGTACTTAAATGTTGTCAACGATGTAAATACACCGACATCCCAACTTGATATCCACGCGACTTGACGTCTTGTTGGTACTTTAGTCCATTACACGCGACTTTCATTTCCTTTTTTAGTTTCTCACATATTTCAATGTCAAATCATTGTAATTTACGAAAACGACCAAGGTATGCCTCAAAATTAATTTATAATCCCCATAATTTTGCTCTATTTGTAAATATATATTCATTCGAGGCACACAAGTGATGTAAAAGGATTCGTTCTTTTATTAGTCTAATCTAATAAAATGTTCTTTTTTTCTGTGACAATCTCGACCGTTGACTGAAAAACAGATTTGATTGAAGCTATGTAGACCTTCATTATGTGGTTGATTTCCCATCGGTTGTCTCGGCACTGTCGAGATAATGATATTTGCAGAGTATTCCATATTAATGCTGGCAGAAAGTCCCTCGAGGTAGCCACGAATTGAAATGTACAACTTAATGGCGAAGTACAGTCGACGTTGAACGATGCATTATTAAAACATGCCAGTCAATGAACAAATATATTTTGTAGGTCAAAGTTCACACAAGAATGTAGTTTTAAATTGATGTGGTTATTTATATTCCCCGCAGTGTAATTTAATTGCATGTATAATATATTCCAACAGTTAAGCTTAAAGTTGTCGCTAAGCCAAGGATTGTCGATAACATTTATCATAGAAGCTATTCGATAATTCATTTTGCAATAAATTGTACCCACGGCTAATATAAGGATGATAACTTAAAACAAATAATCTTGTATTTTAGTACCATTTGCTTTAGATAGTGAATGTATTATGCCGCATCTCAAATTCTAAGTTGGCGAAATCTGGTGAAAACAATACATATTTCGACTAATAGGGTACGTTTATTATCCAGAATTATTTGAAAAACAAATCATATAATGGGTTTTACAAAATAAAAAAGGCAACTTTATGTTGTATACAACTGTTATGAAAATGACAAATTGTGGCTTCCGTATGCAGAGCACAAAGGGAGACTAATGTCATACAAATGTCTGTCTGTCTATATTGATTTCTGGATGAATGTGTCAAATATTGTTCCACTATAATTTGAAGAGCCACTGGATGGATTAGAGTACAACTTGGTACACAGATATTTTATAATTAACTACAGAACTGATCAGATTATTTTAATGATCTAATTTGCATACTAATAAACTACATTCATGTTTTGTATATATGCTAACATTTAGTACATGCATACTATTTTTGTAGTTACATGACAGATAATTGCTTGACATCAAGCTGTGTTTAATTATCTAACTTGCCTAACTGTTCAATTATATATTTTGTGTATCTTCGCGGCAGTTTGGCGGACTTGCTTGTTGTTTGTACAGATGGATATTTGATGTCGGTTTGTGACATTTAGTTAATTTTCAGTCTGTTTGTTGTGTATCAAGGTAGAAGTTTGTTCAAATGGTTTTAAACTTTGCACGTACACACTGTGTGTAGTTAATTATCTGACGCTATCTGCGAACTTTAATTAACTATTGTCAGCTTGATTTATTTTATATTCTAACAATAGATAATACAATACAATACAACAATAATCACATTGTGTCATTAGTTTTGAATCAATTTATGAAGCAGCACGAGCAATGCTGAGACAAATATGATTGTATAATACCATGAGGTTATTACGAGGATACCTCAAAGTATGCACGAAGACAGTACAGCCGGGTGCGTCGACCGACGCGCAGCGGAGGTCAATGCGACGGCGTACTGTCAGAGTGCATACTTCGAGGTATCCTCGTATTAACCTTATTATCACACTACTTTTCCTTCCAAGGATACATCTTGGAAATGCCGAAATACAAAAAGTGTGAAACAGAATCAGCGAACTTCTTTGTGTGGAGTCCGGTCAACACCTGGTGGCAACCATGTTTGTTTTTATTATTAGTGGACGATTTCGTGCGTATATTCATTCCATATTTGGAATTCGCATTTCGTAATATGATAAGATGAAAATACCCCGTAAAATACCGCAAAATTACGACACGCTTTAACTTTCCCAAGCCTCAAAATACGGCACGTGTATCACACAAGAGTATGTTATTTTTATTTTAACATGATGGAACTATAGTTCACTGCATTTAATCCAATAAACATGCGAACAACTCTCAAAGTATGAGTTGCCTTCTACCTTAAAAAAATCGTGTTTATCATCAAATTCTATCATACACATTCAGAATTGTCAAATTGTATAAATAATCATATTATTTATCATAGTATTTATAATAATACAATTCCTTCACATCATATAATCTAATAAAAAACAGTAATGCAATTGTCCTAAGACGCAAATGGCAGCTGAAATCTCGTTGGCAGCGAGAAAGCCACTTATTTTATATCAGACACTTATTTTTGCCCTTGAAAAGACGTTGCACCGATCTATGTAACTTAGCAACAATGAACATGGTGACAGAAGGGAATAGAAGACTATTTGAGGGTCAAAAAACAAATCTCGTGGTTTTCACGCTCTCGCGAGATCCCAGAAGCCATTTGTGTTCATGGTCTATTTAAGGTTAGATACCGATATTGCGTCATTGCTCTCATTTACTGTAATATCGCGGGTAGAAGTAAATGCAAGTACTATTACACAGTATACATACAGAATCAATTAATCGATATCAACGAATGCGG